CATTCAGAGCACTGGGCAGAAATCACATTGCGTCAACATCCGTTGGGACCATCGCAATGCTTTGTTTTAATTAAACAGTCGGATTCCCCTTGTCCGCACCAGTTATGAGTCGGCAGTTTGATGCTTAGGGAGAGTCCAACGGCCCCACCCGAAAGGTGGGGACATAAGACATTCTACGCCCATCGGCACACTGGCACGCGGGCTCCGCCCTCGCCGCGAGAGCAGCTCGGGCAGACCACCGGCAGCCAACGACATCGAGGCGCAGACCCCTAGGYCCAGCCCTCAGAGCCAATCCTTTTCCCAAGGTTACGGATCCATATTGCCGACTTCCCTTACCTACATTGTTCCTTTGACCAGAGGCTGCTCACCTAGGAGACCTGATGCGGTTATGAGTACGGCCGGGCGTGAGAGGTACCGGCAGCTCCAGATTTTCAAGGGCCGTCGGGGGCGCGCTGGACACCACAGGACGCGCGGTGCTTTGCCGGGCACTGCACCCTATCTCCGGTTGATCCGATTCCAGGGTGGGCGAGCCGTCAAGAAGGAAAGAGAACCCTCCCCACGGCCCCCGCCGGCATCTTTCGAGCTGCTTACGTTACTGTCCACCTCCACAACCCGGTTCGGGAATTTTAACCCGACCCCCTTTCGATGTGCGGCGCGCAGTGCGTCCTTGATACAAGGTTTCCATATCTCTTAGGGCCGACTGACCCATGTCCAAGCGCTGTTCACATGGAACYCTTCTCCACTTCGGTCTTCAAAGTTCTCATTTGAATATTTGCTGCTACCACCAAGATCTGCACCGGGACCCGCTTCACCTAGGCTCACGCTCCAGRCTTCGCAGCAGGCCCCGCGCCCTCCTACTCGTCGCGGCGTCAGAATCGCCGCGACGGCCGAGCATAGGTCGCGCGCTTGAGCGCCATCCATTTTCGGGGCTGATTGATTCAGCAGGTGAGATGTTACAAGCTCCTTAGCGGATTTCGACTTCCATGACCACCGTCCTGCTGTCTSTATCAATCAACACCCTTTGTGGTGTCTGGGTTAGCGCGCAGTTTGGCACCGTAACTCAACTTTCGGTTCATCCCGCATCGCAAGTTCTGCTTACATAAAATGGCCCACTTGGAGCTTTCATTGATCCTCGGGGTTCGCTTAAGCAACCCCGAAATCTTACCTATTTACAGTTTGAGAATAGGTAGAGGGTCTTTCACCCCCGAGGCCTCTAATCATTCGCTTTACCCGATAAAACTGTTCAACAGCTCCAGCTATTCTGAGGGATACTTCGGAGGGAACCAGCTACTAGACGGTTCGATTAGTCTTTCGCCCCTATACCCAAGTCCGACGAATGATGTGCACGTCAGTATCGCTGCGAGCCTCCACCAGAGTTTCCTCTAGCCTCGCCCTGCTCAGGCATAGYTCACCATCTTTCGGGTCCCAACGGGCATGCTCACACTCAAACCTCTCACAGCAGATCGTGGTTGGCGGACGGTGCACCCGCAGAGGGTTCCCGCCACTCAGGTTTCTTCCGCCTCGTGGGCTAATCACCCACCGGCTCGCATGCACTTTAAACTCCTCGGTCTGTGTTTCAAGACGGGCAGGATAGAGGAATTCCGACGAACGATTTGCACGTCAGTATCGCTGCG